CAAGGTGGTATACTTTCAAAGACAGTTCCTAACAAATATAAGACAACTCCTGACGAATATGCTAAAGAAGTTGAAAATGACGACTAAGCAATTCTATACCATGCGTAAACTGTCATGTAAGGTGGCATGTATTCTTTACTTTGTCCCGTTGTTTGCGTATATCCTGTAACGAAATGTGTATGGATTCCTTCTCCCTGCGTGTCATCCCAGTAACAATTTATAGCAAACTTAACGTCGTCTTTAACATCATATCCTTGACCTTTTGTCATTCCTGTCCAATCCCAATATCTATGCTTATGCCAACCTGCTTGAGATGTAGTTAATCTTATGTAATGACTGTGTGCAGGTAAATTTTCACCTGAAATCGTTTTACTTCCACCTGTTTCCTTTGAAGAGTTTGCACAATACAAAAACCTGTCGACTATTTGTTCCCATACACCAACACCAAACATTACTTGAGGACCTCTTGCATCCATAGATGTATAAATAGAACCTACTGGGTTCATTAAATCAAACATATGAGATATTATAGGATTGTCTCTTTTGAACTTAAAATATAGTGCAACTATTTCAGGTTTCTTCTGGTTTGTGTCAGAATATTTTTTATAATATAATCTGATGTTTTCAGGGTAGGTAAAATCTTGACTATAATATTTATTTCTGTCATCTGTATAATAATATACTATTCTCGTTTTTTCTATTGCATTATATCTTTTATATCTATAATATTCTAAATATAAGGTTAGCTTTTGTTCATCTACATGTGGTGTTCTGTCGTCATCTCCATAGTCATAATAATGTGGTGCCGGAGCTGGGTCAGGTAATATCATATCTGCCATTTCATAAACTCGGAAATATTTCTTTTGTTCGTCTCCATATAAGTTTAAGTAGCAGTTGTTGTCTAATGGAACTTTAACTTGTGTACCATCATTCTTTTTATAGCTTACATACATTTCATTGTTATTTTTCGGAATGAGTTTATACCGTATACCATTTTTTAAGGAATGTACAAACTGCCATCTAAAATATTTATTTTCTTCATTGACAGAAAAGTCACCAACAATAGTTTCAATATTTTTTGTTCCAACTAAACTTTGGTATATTTCATTGACATATGTTTTATCTGCTTTAGTGTTTAAGGTTTCTTGTAAGTTTGTAATATTTGCAATGGTATGTGTATGTCCAATGTCACTTTTCCTGTTTAAGGTTTCTTGTAAGTTTGTAATATTTGCAATGGTATGTGTATGTCCAATGTCACTTTTCCTGTTTAAGGTTTCTTGTAAGTTTGTAATATTTGCAATGGTATGTGTATGTCCAATGTCACTTTTCCTGTTTAAGGTTTCTTGTAAGTTTGTAATATTTGCAATGGTATGTGTATGTCCAATGTCACTTTTCCTGTTTAAGGTTTCTTGTAAGTTTGTAATATTTGCAATGGTATGTGTATGTCCAATGTCACTTTTCCTGTTTAAGGTTTCTTGTAAGTTTGTAATATTTGCAATGGTATGTGTATGTCCAATGTCACTTTTCCTGTTTAAGGTTTCTTGTAAGTTTGTAATATTTGCAATGGTATGTGTATGTCCAATGTCACTTTTCCTGTTTAAGGTTTCTTGTAAGTTTGTAATATTTGCAATGGTATGTGTATGTCCAATGTCACTTTTCCTGTTTAAGGTTTCTTGTAAGTTTGTAATATTTGCAATGGTATGTGTATGAGTCTTATTTGCTTTAGTGTTTAAGGTTTCTTGTAAGTTTGTAATATCAGATATAGAATGTGTATGCTGTTTTTGTGGATATGTTCCTTCTGTCCATGCGAAAATATATTCTTTTGTTGCATCTACATATCCAGTTATCCATGTCAAGTCTGCTTTTGTATTCCTTAACTCTGTAACACCTTTCTCAAGCTCTTTCAACTGTTGTCCATCTTCCATTAAAGCTCTGTCATGACTTGAAACCGTTTGTGCCAACATATCTACAGTTTCTTTGTCAGCTTTATTTTCAACATCCTCTTTTGTGCATATGTTGCATCTGCTCTGTCATGTTCTTCTTGAACTTTTTCAATGACATATTCTTTGTCAGCTTTGTTGTCAACATCTGCTTTCAAAAGAAGTTCATTTATAGGTTTCTCGTTTAAAGTTCCTTTTGTTGGATTTATACAGACAGTATTGTTTTTATTGTCTTGAAATAGAAACTCATCTGTCATAGGGTTTATTGTCAGTTTTAGGTTTCCTTCTTTCAATGACTCAGATATTTTAGCATAGTTTGAAAAGTTTGTTGTGTTCTTATTTAGAGCTTGCATAATGAGTTGTCGGTTGTGTTGTATTTCTCTCATAGACGCTGTTTCATTTGACATTTTTATTATAGATAAAATATGCTTCCAATAGAAAAAGAAAATTCAAGAGTTGCTACAACTAAACCATTAGATGAACTTTTTACTAATGTCGGTCAAAAGTTTGACTTAGATACTATAAAGCATGAAGGCTATCGTTTTGACTACCCATTAAGATGGTTAAGAGACCCATCTGTTACTAAATCTATTGGCTTTCGAAGAATAAAATTTGTGTCTGTAGAAGATAAAAGTTTTCCATTTATTGTAAGGTTTCATATAAATTATACATCTGAAGGGAAACGAAAAATGTGGGAAGAAATTGAGCTAATACAAGTTGACCTTTCATCTTCTCTACAGACTGCGTTAAAAAATATAGAAGATAAAATAAATTTATGTTATGCAAAATATGCTGATGAAGTTAGTATACAAGTCTTGGGTATGGTGGCACTGCGTTCCACCTTACCCAATACTTGTGAATTTGACACTTTACAAAACCGTTAACGTATATTTTACAACATGAACGCAAAAACTAACTTAACCTTAAATATTTACAAAGCCGCCAACAATTTCACCTCACTAACGAACTCACTAATGAAAAAATAAACGTTCTCATAAATTTTCCTCAATATCTTCATCATCAGTGTTAACCATATTGTAGTCATACTTGAAGCCATAAACTTTCTCTAACTTCTTAACGTACAATTTACATAACTTACCTTCGTCATCGTATGGTTTAATGATATAACTATTTCTATCTTTATACACAGTCAATGAAAAGTCAACTGGTCTCGGATGTATTTGAAAGAACATGTTATGCTCAGGAAGGAAGAATAAATGTTTAAATGTATGTTTGTTATACTGTGGAATTCGAATGAGTTGCTTTTGTTCTGTCATTACATCCAAATAAAAATTTTCAGTAAAAATAAAACTAACGTTAAAAATTTCTCATAACATAAACGTTCTCATTGCTTTATAACTCTCTTCCTTGGTTTCTTTTTAGTTGCTTTCTTCACGTCTGTCTCCAACTTGACTGTCTTTCTTCTTCGGCCGTAATGATACCAGTTACTTCCACCAGTCAATGGTCAAATGGTCTTTCGTAAGGGTTTCCATACATTCCATAGGGACCATACGGAAGAACTACTGGTGGAGAAGAAACATTTTCTTTAGTTCCATCGAATCTATTTAAATGCATTGTTTCACCTTTCATCTGGTCATTAAAGTCTTTTGCGTGTTTTGCAAACTCATCGTCCTTTCCTAAAGCATTTTCTGACTCAGTCGCAACCAAATTGGATGCTTTATTTATGAGCCCTATTTTATTTAATCTTAACATCTTTGCAACCCAGCCTCCAATCTTTCCTTTATTTGCATCTAATGTCTTTGAAACTCTTCCTCCACACATTTTATTTACTGCGTCATAAGCTCCAAGTGCTTTTGCTCCAAATGCTAATGCTTTTGTTCCCATTGCGCCTAAAGCTGCCCAAGCTACCATTTACACCATATTAAAATCATCTCTCTTCAATATTATCTCATAAAAGTTCTCGTTACTGGAGAAAGTCAATGAAACATAAGCGTTCTCACGGGCTTCGCCCTCACCGCTTTGCGGTCTATCTAACTTATTTCTTTATATCATCTATACGCTTCAAAATGTCTGAACAATTGCTAACATCTTCTACAACAGTTATTTCATCATGAATGACCTTCAAGAACAAGCTCATTTAATATGCAATTAAAATCATCTCAATAATGAGTCCATCCTTTCCATCTTTAGGTAGCACAACATCTTTCATTGAAGAAGGTTCGACAAGTCTTATGTTAAACTTACTGACAAAGTTTGTTATACTATAATGCTTCGGCGGCGAATACATGTAGTTTGAAAGACATAATATAGATTCTTCAGCAAATTCACTTATACTGGATTTTATAACAATGTTCTCACGAGACCAAACGCCACCAATTGACAATCTTGTAAGCAATCCTGCTGAACTTCAACTGTAAACGTCGATGGTAACATTCCACGAAGGTCATCTATTGACATCTTTGAGTCACTGAATTTAAAGATTTTCTTAAAGCAATCGTCATTATCTAACCATGCAATAGCTTTGAAGTTTTCATTCGAATATACATCTGCTTCATTAAATGTAAATCCTGACTTCTTTGCAGAGACGATTTTAAAATCTATTGCATTTGTTTCAAAATTATATGCTATGTTAACTTCTGAAGGTAATGGGTGTCCTTCTGCTATAAGTTGTTCTCTCACTACCGTTTGAAGCTTTGTGTTAAAAACTTTCATGTCATCTCCTGTGTCTAGGTTCACATACACAGCAACAGGAAAACTATCTTGCTTCTTTGTTTCATCATTATATCTCAAAACATTAAAGTTCTTCAATAATATTGTTCTTCCTGCTGGAATACTTCGAACCTGTCTGATTTCACAAGATATGATGACGACCATGACCCCGAACACGGTGAAGAAGAAGTTTTACAAACATCCATTAAGACAGGAAAGGTTTTAACTCAAAGTCTCATTATTGACACCAAAGATGGCGAAGTGGACGTTCTTCAAGAGCTGAAGAAAAATACTTCTTCGGGAGGTGGTGGTAGTCATGAACTTGAAATAAATGAGATAGAAGAGAAATTAGCCGAAAAAGCAGATAAAAACCATGTTCATTATATAAGTTCAGACGAACAGATTATAACGGACTACCATGGATATTTAACACAGGATGAACAAATAAGCACTGAAGATGTTAATGAAAGAAGATATAAATTCATTCGTGCTATAGGTTATGACATAAGCTGTACTGTACAGTATGACACGGGTAAAGCACCAGAAGCATTTAGTTATAACGATGAAATTTATGCCTCTACTTTCTCTGTTAAAGGTGTATTAGTTGAACCAAGATTTACTTTGAGAGTTAAGTCAAAAATAACGTTTGAAGATGCTATTAAAAGTAAAGCTGACAAAGTTGAACTCGAAGCAATGAACAAAGTTTTGAAATCTCATAAACACAACATCTCCGATATAAATGAACATCAAGCTACATTAGACAGTAAAGCCGACAAGAACCATACACATAAATCCTTCACTACTGTTAGAGCAGACGACATAATATTGAACTATACCCTTGGTTCAAGTGCACCTTTAGAGAATCCAAGTACAAGCGTAAAAGATACACTAAACTCCTTAAATAGTAAATGTATGAACATTGAAGGTCATGTCAGAAACTTTGAAACACATGAACTACCAGCAATGTTAGATAAAAAAGCAGATAAAGAACATACACATAACTCCTTCTCAACTGTTGCTATAGAAAGTATTGAAGGAACGGTTGGCGGAACTGGTGGGGATGCATTATATTATAAACCTCCTAACTTTCCACAAGGTTTAACATCGAATGAAAACATAACAACGAAGAAAGACATTAGCTGTAAAAATGTTTATGTCATGGACGATGAAAATAATGTTAAATTCACTGCTCAAGATTTATATGATAATAAAGCTGACAAGAACCATACACATAAATCCTTCACTACTGTTAGAGCAGACGACATAATATTGAACTATACCCTTGGTTCAAGTGCACCATTAGAAAATCCAAGTACAAGCGTAAAAGATACTCTTAACAATTTAGATAACAGTTGCAGGAATATCGAAGATCATGCCAGAAACTTTGAAGCATATGAACTACCAACAATGTTAGATAAGAAAGCAGACAAAACAGAGCTTCAAACATTAAAGACAGAAATACTTCAAACATTATATCCTATAGGCTCTATTTATACGTCAATGAACTCAACGAATCCAGAAACAGTTCTGGGTTTTGGTACGTGGAAGCAGATTGTAGATAAATTCTTATACTGTGCTAGATATTCAAAGCAAACAGGAGGTTCGAAGAAAATTAAAGAAGCAAACCTTCCACCGCACACTCATACAGGAACTACAAACACAACAGGTAATCATTCACATTCAATAACAAAAAGAGGTTATATAAATCTTGCAGCGGGTTCGGATAGACAGGGAATGAATAGATATGATATTTCAAGTGACCCAGTAGATTCAAGCACAGGTATTTTCTGTGGAACCACAGGAAATCATTCACACACTTTCACAACAAATCCAACAGGCTCGGGTGCAGATTATATGCCACCATTTGTGACTGTATTCGCATGGTACCGCGTTCAATGAACGCGCTTGAGCCTAGAATAAAATCTTTAACTTTACATAAATGAGCTTGAAAGAAGTATTCGAACAACATCCATGGAGGTCATTTAAGAAGTTCAATGAAGCAGCAAAAAGTTGGGGATTTACTAACAGAGCTGAAGTGAAAAAGTTCTTTGACAAAAATGTTGTACATCAAACAAAAATAAACCCTTACGACTACTTTTTACCAATTTACTCCAACACTTCTGACGCATACCAATTTGACACTCTCATTCAAAGCAGAAAAGGAGGACATAAACCATTCCTCATCTTCATTAATGTTAACACTCGTAAAGCATATGCATATCCAATGAAAAATAAAGGAACTCGTGAAGTGTTAAGAGTTTTACAAAAGTTTGTAGCAGAACATAGTCCAAGTACTTTAACATCAGACCAGGATTCAGCATACCTCAGCAATGAAATCACAGATTTTCTCATTAAGCATAACATAACTCACTACACTACTGAAGACCATAACCATAACATACTCGGTATCATAAACCGCTTCATAAGGACTCTCAGAGATTTAAATCAAGAGCGAGACTTTACCGAAGAAACAATGAAACATTTTCTCGAAGTATATAATTCCTCAACACATTCTACAACAGGACATACACCAAATTCAATGACACAACAACAAGAAGAAAAGTATATACAAAAGAAACGAAGCCAAACACAAAATATCAGAAATTCAACACAATTTACCCTCATTCCTGGTACAAAAGTTCGTGTAGTTCTTGACGACAAACCGTTGACAAAGAAACGTTTAAGGTTAAGTCGAAATTATTATATCGTAGACTCTACGCAAGGTAATGGATATCTTATAAAAGCTGCTGACGACTCTATTGCGTTTTATCCTCGTCATAAATTAGTCGAAAGTAGTAATGGCAAACTTGCTGAAACCATTGACGAAGCAAAGCGAGGAGTGGTTATTGAAATACTTGGCTATAACACAAACGATGACACTTATAAAGTAAGATATGAAGGAGGCGTTGAAGATGTTATACCATCTAAGAACTTGAGAGAGTCGAAGCCAACACATCTGGGACCATTAGAGCGGGAGTATTGGAAAGATAAAAACATGCCAGAAAGAATAAGAAAATTCTTCTAAACTTTTTCATTAGATGTAAATCAGACATGAACGAGAACAGTCATGATATCATTAAAGGTACCATTTATTTTAACATAAATGAACAAAAAATAATGTTTATGTTAGCATGTTAGATCTAACACGTTTTCTAACCACTTTTCTAACATGGTCTAAAACTCTCGAAAATCATGAATTTTTGACATTTCCTTATGAAAGAAAAATAACGCTAATTTTTTTCTAAGAAAAATTTTTATCTTGTATGTAAAGATATGATTTCAACAATAGGTTCTACAACACTTCAAACAACAACTTCACCAAACTCTTTAGTTATGAATCCAACATCTATGTTAGTAGAGATGAAAAGCTTCATTCCTTCTTCATATACTTTTGAGACAGAAATACAAAGAATTAAGCAAGAACTTTTAACAAGTAATTTAGACTGTAGTGCGAAAGATGAAACAAATGAACAGTATCTTTATGACATGCAGGATATTATTGACCATTTACCCAAATTACCGGAAGTTCAGCAACAAAAACTAACTATTCATGAATTCGATGAAATAGAAGTGAAACCAACTGACTCAGTAGAAATAAAGAAGTTCATACGTAAAGTAAACTATGAGTTTCTAGGATATCATTGCAACCATAAAGTTATGGACAAAGATTGCGACATGGTATATAAGAACATCTCTGACATATATAAATCTGGGGAGTTTAAGACATACGACAACTTTGTTTCATTAGTTGCTGAATGTGTATGGCAGATAAGAGATAAAGATAAAAGATGTAAAATATGGAATGGACAAATAAAACCAACAACTTTTGAGTTAAAGAAAACCATTGACGCCTTAGTTGTTCTAGCAGGTCAAATTTCAATGTATAACGCAAAAATGAATCCGCAATGTTCAAAATGTAAAGCAGCAATGAGGAAATATAACTACTCCGTCAAAGAGATAGAACGTATGAGAAACGACTATGCTGACTTAAAGAAAGAAGTAGAGAAACCAGCAGAAGATAAAATGGACATGTTAGCATTTCTGAACAAAAACTATCCAACAGCTGACGATTTCCTATTATCTGATGTCAAGAAGAAATATAAAGAAACCTTCGGCATAGTTAAAATTTTTGATATCCTTCGTGAAGAAATAGAAGCTACAAAACTGTTTAAAGTCATGAACCATCGCAACATATACCATGTAAAACGCTTGTAAATAGTTATGTTAGAAAAGTGGTTAGAAAACGTGTTAGATCTAACATGCTAACATAAACATTATTTTTTCTATCTTAAGGAAATTCACGAAAATTCATGAGTTTTGACATTTCCTTATGACAGAAAAATAACGCTAATTTTTTTCTAAGAAAAATTTTTATTTTGTATGTAAAGACAGTAATGACAAACATTGAGTTTGAAACAGTTAGAAAGATTGACAATGACACCAAAGTGGTTAGAATAGGTGATTTAAACGTAAGATACTCAAAGAAATACAACAAATATTCTTTGTCAGACATTATATCTCCATCTGGAAAGAAAACAAAGGACTGGGTTAGAAATGCTTCAACTCAGAAAATTTTGACAAGAAATCCTGAGCTTATGATATCAGTAGCATTTCATGGAACAAGAGCATATCTTCATTGACAAAAGTCTTATACCAATAGTTTTGTTATGGTTAGACCCAGTTGTTGGATATAACTTCATAACATATGGTTCATTCGACTCAGAACGTTGCAGTGAAGGCTTACTTTACATCGTTCAGAAACCGAAGGACTTCAATACAAAGAGATATAAGATAGGAAGACCATATAATATAACTCAAAGATATGACAGTACAGTCAATAGAGTCAAGGTTGTGTTCGTTAATGATATGAGAGCTGCAGAAACAGAACTGCTTGAAGTTTTTGAGAAAATGTATGGTGCTCCCATGAAAGGTAAAGAAACGTTTGAAGTAGATGAGATAGATAAAGCTATAAAATTATTTGACGAAGTTGCTGAAAAATACATGTAAAGCGTTTATTTTTGGTCTTTTGTGAAAGTCAGAAAATAACGTTAGAATTTTTTTTATTTATTTTTTTATCTTGTATGAAATGACAGTAATGTCAACATCAGAGAACACAACAACTGCTATCGTTCATGAAGCCATAAATGAAGAATACGAGTACATACAATATAACAAACAACTTCGCCTCATTCGTTCGGTCAAAGATGACATGTACCAAATGCAAAGTATAATGAATGCTCTTCGTTCTACAAAGCAAGCATATCATTGGTTTGAAAACCAACAGACAAAAGAACTTTTAGAAGAATTTCCTCATATGATTGCTTCCCTCGGAAAACCGAGAGAAGAGATTCCGTACGAAAATCGCAAGAATTTGGCTCCTGGTTTGAAAGGATATTATGTTCATAGACTTTTAGTAAATGCTGTAGCAATGTGGGCTTGGCTCCGTTATGCTTGTTATATTTTCATGATGTTAGATGAACTATATAAAGCAGAACGTGGAGAGATGGAAAAGAAACTTCAAGCAAAAGATGAAGTCATTGAATCCAAAGACAAAAGCATACAGAAAAGAATACCACGTTCAGTACCAAAAGGAAAGGAAAAGAGTTATAAGTATATGATATATACTGAAGAGTTGGAGAAAGAAGAAGATAAAGATATGGTTATGTTGCATTTAGTCAGAAGAAACAACAAGAGCTTTTATGACTTAGCTAAAATATATAAATCTGACAGAAACTGGTTCTATCGTGAAAACTTACCGATTTCAATGACACCGAATGAAGATGTGAAACAAATAGTTCAAGATACGTTACCTCAAACACACTATGACATCAAAGGTTGCACAATACTTACATTCAAAGAAGACTTAACATTACTGAAAGAAAAGATAACAGAATATTTCGACAACTTCAAAGAGGAAGAATGAACAAAAATATATTTTTGCTTAAATAGCTTCAGGGTCTATTTCTTCAACCATTTCACTTCCTTCGTCAATGTCAATAGAAGCTTCTTCAACCTTTGGTAAGAATTTCTGTATAACATCTTTGTTCGTTATTGTCTTCAGAGATGAAGGATAATATTTCACATTTGTTTCACCCTTCTTATATTCTTTCTGTTCGGAAAGATTTAATAGCAATACTGAAGAAGTCAATGTTAGAGTTCTTTATGACAGTATAATGAGTATCTTTGACATTCACGAAGAAACTCTTTTGTTTCAAAACTACTGCTAACTCTTGTGAAGTATAACGTTTGCGGTCAATGACAATAGCTAATGGTCTGACATACTGACCGAACTTAGATTCTTTCACAAACTTCTTGTTAAAGATAACATTAACGTTTGCAGCACCATTGAACTCATTCTTGATGGCATTAGCGAGAGCATTGTATGAAAAGAACTTGCAATCTTGCATGTGTTTCATTATAATAAAAAGTTCGAAATATTTTAAAACTAGCCTTAAAAAATCTAAGCTAATTTTTTTCTAAGAAATTTTTTTATTTCCTACTAAAGATGTATCGGAAGTTGTCTAAGTTAGAACACTCGGAAATAAAACAACTTCTTACAGAAGCTAACATAGATGTTGCAAAACATTACGCGACAAACAAAAAAGCACTCGCTGACATCCTCAATGACTACAATGGTGAAATAACTTATGATAGAATTCATGAGTTCATAAATGCAAGAGCATTTCCTTTAAATGACGTTGCTATTGACTTATATCATAGACGTTCAGTACCTCATGAAGTAAGAAGAGAAATGTTTGACATAACAAATGCGAACGTTGGTCATACTCGTAAAGCTCTTTCGCATGATGTTCGTCAAGAGATGTTTGACATAACAAATGCAAACGTTGGTGAAACACGAAAGAGAGACGACACACTGAAACAACAGAGAAGAGAGATGTTTAAAAGTGCTATAGAACAAGTTCGCAAAGCTAACGATGTCATTCATTCCATTGACGACAAACCAAAAGAAGGTGAGAGATGGTTAAAGAAAGATGAAGAGAATAGGAAGAGAAATGTGAAGTCAGGCAATAGACTCATTGACTTTAACATCGAAGCTTTAGATGAACCAAACAGAGACTACTTACACAAACATTTCGGTAAGGTTTTCATGAGACTCTTAGAGAAGATTAAAATAAACTCCCAACAAAGATGGATGGTATGTTATAAACTTGGTGGAAAGTATGAATGTTCTACGTTAAACCTCAATAATATTGGAACATTACTACATCAGCTCTTGAAGGAGAACTTTATATCAGAGATAGAAGCAAATGCCGCAGGTATTGTTGAAATGCACTATGACTTCTTCTTGACAAACATAAAGAATCTTACTGAAATAAAGATGTATGATTTAACAGAATATGAAGGCTTAACGATGTCAGATGTTAAGAAAGGAAAGCCACAGAAGCGACCATATAGAGATGAAAGCACACTGACAGAAAGACAGAAAAGATTATTGAACAGACTTAAACAAACAGGAGATAAACAAGATATAGATGACTTCTGGAATGAAATCCTTGGTGAAAAGAAGTTTTATAAGAAGAGAAGCGGTCAGTTCTGGAAGTATCTTTGCACGTTACCTATAAATCTTGAACGCTACCAAATCTTCAATGAACTGAACAAAAGAACTGCAGCACTTATGACAGAGGACAATTGTTTCGTTTATGCTTGCATTCAGGCTGGAGTAAATGAAGAAACTATTGACCACATGAGAGAAGTCATTCGTGTTAGAGACTTTCCTCAAAGTAAAGTACAAGAAATTTCTGACGCAACAGGTATAGCATTTAATGTTACCATTGGTTACTTCAATGACTCAAGACATAATGAAATAAAGAGATACATACCAAAAGAATGTAAAACTGTTCGAACTATTGACTTACTTCTTGTTGAAGACCACTACATGCTAAATGAAAGACTTCCAATGACAACATATTTCATTCGCAACTATATAGAAATCTTGAAGGAGTGTGGTGGAATGAACATTGAGAAACAGATGAAGATTTATACAAAGAGAGAAGATAAATATGTAGTTCGCATGGATAGAACTACACCGCTATGGGATGTTATGAAAACATTGTGGGAGTGCAAATATTTCGAACCTATTTCTTATGGAGAACTTTTCACATATACGACTGACTATATAAACAGAACCTTGCACCATTTAAAGATTTGACATATGCTCCAAAGTATTGTGTACAACTGAAGAAGAAAGCCGAGTCAAAAGAAGTAAATAAAGCTAAATGTAAGTTCATTCCTGAGCATGTTTTCTTTGCTGACTTTGAGTGTAGTACGGATGGCTTTCATAAAGCTTTTAACATCTGTTACGACAGTGAAGATGGTTCAGTGAGTCAAAGCATTTGGGGTCAGAACTGTGCAACAGAATTTTTGGAACGACTTCCTGACAAGAGTTTAATATATTTCCATAACCTCAGCTATGATATAAACTTCATCTTAAGACACATGACAGAAGTGAAAGGAACTCCCATCATTAAAGGTTCACGAACAATGCAAATAACTGGCTTATATAAAGGAAGGGCAATTATTATAAAAGACTCTTACAGTGTTATAAATAAGAAGCTTAAACTATTTCCTGCTATGTTTAACTTACAAACAGGACCGAAAGAAGTATTTCCATACAACTACTACAGCAGTACTTTGTTAGCAAATGACAACAGAACTGGTGTCATTTCTGAAGCGTGTAAGTTTATCCAGGATGCAGATACATTTATGAAAAACATAGATTCCATCAAAGGTTGCAGAATAGATGAAAACCACTTCGACTTAGAAAAATATAGCACATTTTATTGCAAACAAGATGTAAGAATTTTAAGAGAAGGTTTTGTTAAGTTCCGCAATGACATATTGAAAGAATTTGATTTAAACGTTTATGACTACGTTAGTATTTGTTCAATTGCTAACAAATTATTTGAGAACAGAGTATACTTCCCGAATGGAAATCTTTATGACCTCTCAAATAAACCAAGAGAATTTATTTCGAGATGCATTCAAGGTGGAAGATGTATGTTGTCAGATAACATGAAACAAAAGAGCGAAAAGAAACTCATTGCTGACTTCGACGCTGTTTCATTATATCCATCCGCTATAGCAAGACTTTATACTTTAGAAGGAATTCCAAAAGTATTGAAGGATGAGATGTTAAGCACAGAGTATCTCATGAGACATTTATTCGATGACGACCAAAAGGAACCCATTGGTGAAAAGTTTATGTCAGGCTTCTTTGTTCTCATTAAGATAACAGAGATTGGCATACCCAGACACTTTCCTTTAATAGTTTGTGACCCTGAACTAAATCCAGAACTTAACGTTCCCAGAAGTTCAAACACTTGCTGTTTAATGTATGTTGACCATATAACATTACAAGACCTCATAAAATATCAAGGTGTCAAATGTGAAGTGTTGCAAGGATACTATTACGATGGAAACAGAGATATTAGAATAAGAGATGAAGTAAAGAAGTTGTTTGAGTTAAGGTTAAAGTATAAGAAAGAAGGAAATCCTTTGCAAGAAAATATAAAGCTCATTCTGAACAGTATTTATGGCAAAACTATTCTATCTCCTATTGAGTCAAAAATAACCATAGTAAATGACAAAGATGCTATAAGATATGCCATCAGAAACTACAACCATATAGTGAAGTTCGAAGGTTTGGATGGTTCAGATAAAACTATTTTCAAGCTAACGAAAAGCATTTGCAGACACTTTAACTTCTGTCCACTTGGTGTTAACATTCTGTCTATGTCGAAGAGAATAATGTGTGAAGTATTCTGTACTGCTGAGGACTTAGGAATGGACATCTTTTATAGCGATACGGACAGTATGCATCTCTACAATGAAGATATCCCTCGTTTAGCTGAAGAGTTTGAGAAACGTTATGGAAGAGTTCTCATTGGTAAAAACCTTGGTCAATTTCATAGCGACTTTGCAGAAATCACAAAAGATAAACAAAGTTTAGCATACAAGTCAATATTTTGTGGAAAGAAGACTTACATAGACTTACTCACGAATGATTTAAATGAAGTTGCATTTCACTGCAGAATGAAAGGCGTGAAGCAAGATGTTATTGCTTTAACCGCTAATGAAATGTTTCCTGACTCTGTTCAGTGTTTCTATGATGAAGATAAAGGTTTAATGGTTCTGCAAGGAAAATTTGACAAAGACTCTGAGTTCAGTGTTATGAAACTTTACAAAGCACTTCATGATGGTCAAGAGATTGGATTTGACTTATGTAAGTCTTCTAGTCCTTGCTTTGCTGAAAAGTTTAACATTTCTATTCAGACTAAGACTTCATTCATAAGAAAGCTTAAGTTCTGAGGTCATGAATGAGAAAAATAATAAGGTCATTTATTTTTGTCAGCAATGAGGTCATTCATGATAAAAATAAGCCGCTAGCGGCAAGGGCGAAGTCCATGTGGTCATTTACAATACTGCGATGGTAGAGTTTAAGAGTTGTGCTTCAATGTAGAGACAGTCCTTATGGTCTGGAGGTAAGAACACTGGGCAGTTATGGTCATGAGTGGAGAACATGTCTATCCAAAACTCACGATTGAAGCCAGTTAATTTATAGTATTTAGGGTTAGGAAGTGGTGAAGTTCTTGTATGACCAATGAACTCATTTTCAACTCCCTTACTTAAGTTTGAATATAATATAGCTTGCTTTCTATCCCAAATGCCAGGTGTTACAATCTTTGAAAATTCATTTTGCCTCGGAAGCATTGCATCATAATTGAAAACATTCTTGAAATCATCACTTGGTTCAGAGATTTGAAATCTTATACGTAATGGATTTTCTTTCTCTTTAGCGACTTCATTGAATGGTGAGAATACAACAAACTGACAGTCATGTGTTCCATCTTCATTTTCATTAAATTCATAATGAAAGTCTATAAGTTGTGGCTGACTACCTTCTTCTTTCAGTTGTGCAAGAAACTCACGTAAAGGCTGTAAAGTTTGTACTTCAATGTTGAACTTTTTCTCGAACATCTCATTAAATGAAATCATACATTGCAACAATGTTGTATCGTCTTTAAAGTATTTGTATATGTGAATGTTTTGGGCGCTTAAAGACTGTTCGTCATTTTCTATCTCGACTTGAAGTATAAAGTCAACCTTTCTGAAAGCACGTGTTATATACATAGATGTTATGCCAATGTACTTCTCTTCATTTATGTTCACAATCCAGTCTGTTGGAAACTTAAACGTTACTCTGTTCCCCTTTATTTTGACGTCAGGGTTTTCACTACTGAACGCAACAGATAAAGGTATTTGTCTATACATTTAATTCGGATAAAAATAACCATTTACTCTTTCTTTGCTTCAGCTTCTTTAGCTTTTGCTTCAGCTTCTTCTCTAGCTTTCTTCGCCAGCAAACGTGGGTTCTTTTGTCTTCCAGCAGCTAATGCAGCATGTTGTTTTTCACTAAGTTTTCTCTTTGGTCTCTCTGGCTTTTGTTCCTTCAGTTCGGATAAAATTTGCTCACGAATTTCTTTCTTCAATGCTTCAACATCTATGACCCCTTGGGTCTTGTCCGTAGGACTTGTCTGAGTCATTTGACTGTAGATAAAAAACTAAATTAAAACTTTAACCGGTGTAAAATGAGCTTGTCAAAATCAGAGCGAGAGTCTATTATATTAAATGACGCAAGAGGAATACAACATCCTTTCTATTACGTAAGTCAGAGTAAAGATGGTAAAATATACGTAAGAAAAAGAAAGGTTCCATTAGCGAATGCAGAGAGCGACAACATTAAGGTGCATGACACCGAGGGCGAAGCCCATATAAAACCTTCTGTTCAAACTGAGCCACCAAAAGAACCAGAAGAAAAGAAGCCAGATGTACTTTCAATAACGAACCAAGAGCTTATTGCAAAGTTCGTGAATTTCATTGAAAAACAAACCGAGTCAAAGAATCCTGACCCGCCAGTGAAAGAAGTTGAGACAAAAGAGAATGTAGAGTTCATTGAAAATGTCAAGAAACAACTTCCACCACGAATTCCAAGAAGAAGAGTGAGAATAATGAAGTAAATAGATATTTTTATCTGAAGTAAATACATGCAGAACGAACAGTTAAACGAATTTACTCCAGCAGAGCATATTCATCAGATTCGCTCATATTTCGATATCATAGACAATGCAGTTCAAATTGGTGACACTAATAGAAAATATTCTGACGCAAAGATTCCATCACAACCTGGAACTGCTAAAGATAACACATGGGTAACATTCAATCTCTCACCTCCTGGTGAAAATATGTTGGACCTTTACAATACATTCATTACGTATAAAATGGAAGGTCAATTTATTGCAGATAAAGAAATTGGTTCAGGTTCCAATAAAACAAACCCACCAGGATTTTGGATTGGTTTCGATGACGCTTTCTATGCAGTTGCTGGATATCAAATCCTTGCAAATGGTCGTATCGTATATTCTCAAGACAACGCAAGAGAAGAAGCATATATAACTTCAAACTCACAAACTACCGAACAAATAAAGAAAGTAGATGTTTTCTCAAAGACTCGACATGAAGATGTATGGAGTCATTTGGGAACATGCAGAACAGGACAAATTGTTAGTGGTCCAATTACAGCAGGAAAATCATTTGATTTTAAGCTTCGTTTAAGAATTCCTGTTAGAAAGTTTTTACCATTAGAAGCTATCGATTTATTCCTGCATTTGCTGGTAACATTCAGCTTAAAGTAAAGTTCAGTAGCGACGCATTACAATGCACATCTATATCTGTAAATGATATCATTGCTTTCAATCCAACTCTTAAAGTTGCATTTGCTTCAGATTCAAATCCACCGACAAATAAATTTGTTCCATGGAATGAACCATTCACTATGATAACGAAGGCATAGAAGCTAGTGGA